TTTCCTTTGTTTACCTCGTTCCATTTTTCTTTTTACACCCTCTAGTATTTTTTCTACGTTGCCTTTTGCCCTTTCCTTTCTTTCATAATACTTATTTTCTTCATTTTCCCTTGTATTTCTGGACGCTATTTCTCAACGTATAGTTCTTCCTTTCTTCCTTTATCACAAGAATTTTCTTTTTCCATTCTACGGCTTTGCGCGTTTATATGTTAAAAGACTTTATTGAAAAATATGACGTTCGTTTAGTAGATGAATTTTTGAGAATCGAATTTCAGTGTACTTTTTGCGAACGTTAAATTTTTCGCTGTAATATGCTTCGTTTTCATTAAATTAAATTGTAAAATGATAACAATATAAAATACAAAAAGTACTATATATGTAAAAGTAAAATTTTTAAATTTAGAGATAAATTTCAAAAGATTTGTCCGACATTTACAGTACAATGTTAGATTATATTTATAATCAATACGCAAACCAGCGATTAAATATTTAAAATTTCTTGTTGTATTTTGAAGTGATTTTATTAAAGTACCGAAATTGAAATATTACGATTGTCAAGTTGGTTAAGTATTGGTAGGAAATGATATTAAATAATAATATTTTGTCCCGGGCTATTTGTATTTAATTAACAAATTTTAAACGATAGAAAAATTTAATAATATTTTAACAAGACTAAATGTCCCATGTGCACAATGAACTAAGAAATGGAATATTATAAATACTATAATTTATATCTAGAAATCCAATAAATTTGTAGTTCTCATAAAACCAAGATTGTAAAATTCCGTTACTTCTTTATTCTCTGTCGCATCGTCATGTATTTGCTCGTCCTTTTTCCTCGTGGCAAGCCAACGTACGTTTCCATTCTGCACCTACATTTCCATAAAAAAAGATAACAACAGAAGAAATAGCCGTGGAATAGCAAAAAAAAATTAATAAAAAAGTACACGCATACGAGGGTAAAGAAGCCTTTATTATCTTCGAGACATTGTCCTCGCGAAAACTCGACATTCTCGGGATCGCTCACCTGAACTCCGTTCTAAGCGATTGGCCCATTGTCTCGCTCTCGTTTGTGACTCGCTCGCACACTCTCTCACTGGCATACTGACGCGTACACTCGCTACACGAAGGCACACACGTCGACTCATCTACACACACACACACACACACACACACACACACTCTCTCTCTCTCTCTCTCTCTCTCTCTCTCTCTCTCTCTCTCTCTCTCTCTCTCTCTCTCTCTCTCTCTCTCTTTCTCTCTGTGTGAGAATCTCGGGAATGAGCGATTCTCCGACAACTTTTGCCCCATTGTCGCGAACAAGAGGAGTGAAAGCTCGTTCAATCTGCCTGTCTATATCGTCTACAATTCACATTCACATACTAATACATATCTTGCAAAGCAGGTGAGGGTGTGAATCGGTTTCACGTCTACTGAATTTTATTCGTTTAAATTAGTTAATAATACCCTATGGTTTCACTGATTTTCAAATCGTATAGCAAAAATTACTAATTGTAGACCTGATTATCGAGGCGGTAACTATTATTAATTGATTTAAAAATTTCGTATTATTTATCGATTGAATATACATTGTTTGACTCATACGTATAAAAGAATAAATTATTATATTTCTCATATTTTTCTATATAAATGTTAATTATTTAGATTAAATTATTTCATTGTAAATTGACCATTCAATTTTATGCGTTCATGCAAAATTTTAAATAAATCTTTTCTCAATGAAATTTATGCACAATAATGCTGTATATTTAAATAAAAATAAATAAAATGAATTCAAAAGAAAATTTAAATAAATTTTTAATATAAATTCTTGAGTATATATATATATATATATATATATATATATATATATATATATATACATTTGGATATAATTGATGAAATTACTGTTCGTTAACAAAGCTTGGGCACCCTGATAAAGTACTTAGCACGATTTTCTGTATAACCACACGAGTTTTCGTTACAATTAACTAAATTATAGTTTAGATTACTAAATCCTATTATAGCTGAGCGCAAGATTAAGACAGTGTTTAATAAAAGCTCGTTTGGAGTGGGAAAAGAGAGGGGGGAGTTGAACATTGTGTGCCCAGTATAAATGAGAGAGAGTGTATAAGGGGGATAAGAGCACAAGGGGAGATCGAGACAATAAGATATAAAAGAAGACAAAAAGAAGCGAAGACGAGCACGCAAGGTGAGTTCTAACGAGACAAAGACAAAAACGCAAACTCTGTTGATCTGACACAAAGGGCAAAGAAAAAGTACACGGGAAGAACAAAGGAGGAAAAAATGCATCTAGCGAAAACTTGTTTGTCCGTTTTATGAAGGACAACCTGGACTTCTCGGCGAAACTCCATTTCATTATGGCAACTTTGTTTATGCTATCAAAGTTTTGGTCATTTGAATAGAGCAAGAGTTGTGCAGTTATTTGATTTCACTAGAATATTTGGATCATTCTATAATATGTATTGTGCGCGGTATGTATCGCTCAGTAAATTCCAACAATTTATAGTTTCAATGATTAAAATCATTATAGAGAAATTATGCTTATAAACGTACGTTATATCCAGTGACATATGAGATACATAATGTGTGTGTGCATTTGTGTATATACAATTTCTTCTACAATTGTATGTTTTATAAGCGTTACAAGAGTGTTATGTTACTTATGTTAAATAGAGGAAATTTTAGTCGAAACGATTAATCGTTTTATTCATAGTTTCAACTCTATAAGTACTATTAAAATAATCGACGTTATGGTTGCTCATATTTCTTAAGTTATTTAAATTATTCAGCCGTTTCAACTACGCAATCCTCCCTTTCAATCGATTTATAATAGACGCTCTTTTAAAAACCGTTTATCATTTCATTGCAAAATAAAGTATGATCGTTTATATTCATAGCTTTTATTGTCCAAGAACTAATTATTTCCATATTAGAAGCTTTAAGTGCAATCAGAGAGAAAAAAATCAGTCATAGTTGAATAAGGTATTCTTATGCACCATCGGCTCACTTCCGCCACTAGCGGATTATACTGTAAGACCGTGTGGCCTTATTGTTCGTTCGTAAAAAAAAAAGAAAAAGGAAAAATGAAAAAAAAAAAAAATATCCGTTCTCTTGGCATTGACACTTTAAATCTCAGGTTATTTAAGAATCTTGAGAGAACAACTGTCGCATCTTTGTCGCTGGCAGCATCCCACTTCTCGTCCCGAGCATGTGTCCAATTGTCCAGCCAAATGAAGGCGGCGACCTCAGACCCCGGAAACTCAAAATTCCAGGGGTGAATGCGCCACGTGAGATGTTTATCAGAAGAGGCGCAACCTTGTTCCTTTTACGCCAACGAATAAAACGATTGGCAAGCATTGCTTTTCCGCTTGAAATTCAAATTGACGCTTTCGAATGTGTCTTTTTCATCAAACCATAGAACAGCAAAAGGGGTTGTAAGGTTGATTCTAGATGAACTGTCGATGTCGTCATCGTCGTCATCGTCGTTGCTCCTCTATTGTCAGCTTTGTTCTCGATTGTCGGCACACGTGCGCGCTGCAGCACCACTATTCGCTCAAATTGCGATACCTTTATAACGTTTTCTCCATCTATGTAGCTGTAGCGCTCATCTTTTTCACTTCTTTCACAAAAGCATTGCAGCATTAAGTTTTCATTATGTTATTTTATTTTTCAGTTTGCTTATTAATCGTTTCACGAAATTTTACATCCTTATTAATCACTGGTAAATATATATATATATATATATATATATATATATATGCATTTACTTGATTACGAAATATATCTATATATTATTTTTTGAATTTTTCAATACTCGTAAGTGTTGGTAATAAATAAAACTTATTGCTAATAAATAAACTGAAATTTCAAAAAACAAAATTATCGTCTGATATATTTTATTATACACATAAAATATCCGTACAATAAACGAATTATTTGATTGAACATATTTCATAGTTTGAATGATGAAAATTTAATATATATTACGCGTCATTCGACAATTTTATAGAATATATTATCGATTATCGAAAGTGCAATAATATTACTACCTTAGCAGAGTATATTTATTTAAATAATCCTCTCATTTCTATGCATAAAAAACATTGAAGGAACATTACAAAATTCGTTAAAAAGCGAGGTCAGCGACTTTCTTTGCAAAGGAAAGTCTACCATGCGTAAGTCTAGTGCTTTTGCTTCCTGCCGTTTCACGTCGACATTGGAACGATTACTATTACATAATATTATGCATGTAGCTTTCGTTTTGCCGTTTCTCGGGCTTTCGATCATAAGTGGCAAGTGAGAATTAATTTTTGGTTGATAAAATCGTTGCGCAATCAGTTTCGTACAATTCCCATTTTGTGTCAAGCTCAGCTAGGTGCGATCCATTGCGTTAAGCGAGCTTTTTGTCCCACTCTCTCACTCTCTCTCTCTCTCTCTCTCTCTCTCTCTCTCTCTGTCACTTCAATTGCAGTCGCACATTTTTGTTCGCCTGTACTTGTGACATCTTTAATTTGCTTTTTTTATTTTATTTCATCGGCTTGCTAACGAATGCATCTTATATGTAATATCCATGTCCAAATACGTAATGTCCCCAATATGGGATTCACTTTTTTTATTGTTATTTTAACGGTACTTTGCGCTTCACTTTTTATATTAAATTAAGTTGATATTTATATTGTCAGATGATTATTTAAATCGCACACATTTTAAACAACAAGCGAAAATTTTGTATATTAACATTGTCGCATATGCCTTATATTTAATGGAAAATAATGTTTACATACCTGAAGTAATTAAGTTTGTTGAAAACAAAAAAAAAAAAAAAAAAATAAGAAAATAATAATAATTTTTTCAAAACAAATAACTATAGCTTGTATTAGTAATTTAAACATTTAAATAAAAAATATTTGGTTTACAGCTATAAAGGAAGCCAATCGTTCTCAATCTAAATGCTGTTTGTATGATCGTGTTTACAGGTGCGGAATGGAAGCTCTTGACCGAGGAGGAGAAGCTGCCTTTTATCGACGAAGCCAAAAGGTTAAGGGCGATGCACATGAAGGAGCATCCAGATTACAAATATAGACCGCGAAGAAAGCCAAAGACTCATCGTAAAGAGGGTTACCCATACAGCATCCCCTATCCAAGTGTACCTATGGATGCTCTAAGAGCAAGTAAGTGATCTAATTTTATTTTAAATTCTTATTTGTCGTGACTCTATGGAACGAGTTTATTGTTTATAAATATTCAAAAATTATTTTACATTTAATATACAAGCACGTAATATGCAGTAAGCATTTCAATAATTTTTAAATTGTTTAGCAATTATATTTATGTGCTTGCCTAGTATTTACAACATTTCCTATAATTTTATTTTACGTATGCAATAAAAAATTAATTTTATACTCGTAATAAATTTTTCTTATAGAAATACGAGGGCACTTTTACCATCGTTAAAATATACATATGTACATTACATTATTTATTACACTATATGCATATAATTATAATATGTGCCTTCAGGTGCAGCGCGCGCGCTCCCTGTTCGTATGCGTGTGCGTGTGCGTGTGCGTGTGCGTGTGTGTGTGTGTGTAGCTATTTATTTTTTCAAGAGGTTAGGGGTAATATATCTAGATTCAAAAAACAGTTACGAGATATTTTTATAAAAATAAAATCAATTTTGTCAAGAAAGCGGTAAAATTATGAAAAATAAAAAATTAATAATGTAAAAAGTAAAAATTGTAATTGTAAGAGGCGATAAACTTGTTTTCCAGTGTCGTTGAGATCCAAGTGTGATTCAGTGAATGAAGTTTCTTAAAGTATTCTAAAATTTACCGTAGGCATCGATATTTTTAAATCTGAAAATTTTTTGCACTCTAAAGAGATCGTTAGAATAAATCTTAGTACCAGAAAAGCAGAGATCGAGAGCTTTATAAGGAAGAAATGCTCTGGATCCAAAACAATCCGATAAATAATCGATTAGTTGACAGGTTTATGCTTTCGCGTGCGAGCATCCGATGAATCCTTTTGATTTATGATTGCGATTACGCGAGGCCTTTAATCGGGTTAGTCCCGATTTTGTAGATTTATCGCATCGCTGTAAATATTTTTCAACGGTTCGATTCAATTCCGGGGTAAGTTCATTTTTTAATCTTACTCCTTACGTTTTAATGAGAATTATGTACTCGTGGAGTTCCATTACATATGTAAATTACACTTATGCTGTGACACGAAGTAATTAGCATAAAATCCTAAATTTTTTTATTTTGGAATATATAGAGTTTCTTTCTTTTCTTTTTCTGGTTTTTTTTTTGTTTTTTTTTTTTTTGTTTTTGTTTTTTGTTTTTGATACAGTACATTCCATTTTTAAAAGTACGTCTTAATGAAATAATTATATTTATTAAGTAAATATTTTTATATTGATTTGATTAAAGAGTAACTTTTTTACGCTCGTTTTGGTTTTATCTACAAGATTCTCGTGTACGTAACTAAATAGGTTTTTGAATTTAATAAAATTATTCTTGAATATTGTATCTGTTTGACCGATATATTTTCGAGTTCTTTATTAGAGAGGCACTGATACGTTATGCTAGTACAGTTGCATGAATTTGATTTATGATTCATATACTTTCACTATTTTATTTTGTTTCTGCATTCTATCATTCTAAATTTATTGATTCATCGTAACTGCTTCAAAGTGGAAATACACTTTAAAAATTTATTTTATATTCGATATTATAAAAATTACACTAAAAAATTCTTTCCTTCAACGATAATTTATTACAACAAAGAAGAACAAACTCGGCCATTTTAATATTTCAGCGTGTTATTTTTTTCACTTATTTCTATCCCATCCATGTAATAACTTATTACCTTAGTTATTTGTTTAAATTACACCGTTTTAATAATCATGCAAAATTAAATTTCTATTTCATCAAAGTTTTAAGTATAATTAGTATAATCTACCTGATGAAAAATAAATTTTTTTTTATAACAACGCGCATTGAGAGAACGATTAAATAATTTTAAGTACTTAATAAATCGCTTAATAAAAATTCACGTAAGTCTGTGAAAATTATATTCGTGTATACGGCGCCAATCAATTTTAGTTTCTAATTACCTGACACTTCACGCGTCACATACGACTAAACAAAAAGCTCAACGACACAACGATGATCATGATCGGGAGAAAAAAGTATCCATACCCTTTAGACTAAAGTTCGCTATGGAATAAAAAAGTGTGCAGCACACACTTGAATCGTAATTGAGAGACCTAGGGACGTGTATATACTCGTCTTTTTTTCCTTCTTTCTTTTATGTTTATTATTTGTCCTTCCCCCTTTGAATGTTCCACGCTATCTTTTCTTTTCTCCTAAATTCATTGTTTTATTTTAATCATTGATATTGAACGTCAGCTCAATTATAAATGTATATTAAGCATTGAAATTTTTGAAATAATGCCATTTAGATCGATGAGGTTTTTTCTGTTTTTTCTGTTTTTTCTGTTTTTTTTTTTTTTTTTTACGAAATTGAAAACTTAATAATCATTAAATTTACTAGAATGAGAAAAAATTCTAATGAAAGCGCGTTAAATAATTAAGAGAACATTATTAAAAATAATTTAAATTGTTTAATAATAATAAATGTTATTGCCTTCACTTGTACATTACTAATGATATTAAAATCGATAGTAAAATTTAAAATAGAATTGTATATAATAACATCGTAATGTTAAAGTAAAACTTTAATAAATTATTAATAAAAACGTGCGTTTATTATTAAGTTGATAAAATAGGTTAAACTTTCAGTATCTATAAGATTTTTCATAGAAATATTGAAAGATTTATCAAGCAAATCACAGCGGAATAGAAATTACGATAACAAAGTGAAAAACTCTATTGAAGCCGTACATAATCAGAGCCGACGCGACACGCATTATTATATAATATCGACAATTCACTCTCAAGTACCGAAGAGAATAAAAAGAGGCGACAACTTTATCCATTCCTTCATAATTGCTTCTCACCTCTGATCTAGTTGATCTCAGAACAGGTACGTCACCTCCTTCCGATCAATCAAGTATCATCCTATCTGACACAGAATGAGCGCGCGCGCGCGCGCACTCTATCTCCAACTCTTTTCTACGCTCGCACTTCGTCTCGTGCTGAGCCCTAGTGAAATTGCACAATAATAGGCTCGGGAAAACAATGGGCCCGAATAAAACCCGCGAACGCTGCATCCGTGTAAACGCGTGCGCGGACATCTGCTCGACAGATGGGTGCCATTGCTGATTACACGGCACCCCCGCGTCCTCCAATTACTTTTGTCCCGGGCCTTAAGTGAACAGCGTCAATGCTGCGCCGGTGGATAAATATTTTGGACGAGCAATTGTGCACGCGATCGAGAAGTGCGATGTATCGAGATTGAAAGCCTCTGTCTGCCGCCGGTGCTCGTGCCTCGGCTCCTTTCTTGCTCAATCGATTGCTTGTAATTGGAAAATACTAGAACGATGAGTCGCATACGCTTTGCTGAAAATCGAGGATTAGCATTATTAGGACGATACTAGCATGAGCTCCATTATTTGGAGTGGGAATGAGTTTTAACGATGCTTAGGCCTATCGACATCCTCTTATTAATATGGCTTATTGTGTCGATATGCAACGAGGCTCTTAATTTCAGACTAATCAATGTCCCAATACTTGTAGAAAGCGAAATTTCATTCTTCTTTTTCATTTTTTTATTATAAAGTGAGGAAAAAATACTTAATTTAATTATATAATTTAACGATTTATTTGAATGATTATCGATAACAAAAATGATATATTGAATTTATAATTGGACGTTGAAAGATGTGAGGGAGGATGTAAATGAAAAATTTTGTTTCAAAATCATTCGATTTATTATTCAGCTAAATCAAATAATTATTATATATATATATATATATATATATATATATCACGGCTATAAAATGGTAATTTAAGTTTGGAAAAGCATATGAAATAATATTATAAATTTAAATCGGCTAGAAATTTAATTTTTAAAATATTATAAAATTAGTCTTTTAATAAGTTTAATGGATATGTTATTTGTTTTTTTTTTTTGTTTTTTTTTTTTTAAATTCATATGTACATATGTATGTAAAAAGTTGATAGTCGAGACACAATCATTAATTTACCATAAGAAACGGACAACTGACGTCACTACGTTTCTCGTTCTTACTTTATTATGTGTATTTCTTGAGTCGCTCGCTTCATTATGATCGTTATTAAGCTCATAGGGCTCATTATTAAGACAATTACACGCTTGGATTATTAAACAATTGGATTCAATAGTAATAATATATTTTTTCCTCGTATATTTAATTATTCTTCACTTGCTCACTCACCTTTTTTTCATTATGCAGCATTTAAATGCTTGTCCTTTAAGAATTTTTATTAGTACTTGGTTCCTTTAATTTATTTAACAACTAAATGCGTTGCAATAGTTTTTATTAAATATAATGTGGTATTAAAACTCATGAAGTATAAAATCTAAATAATTGTAATGTATTAAAAAAAAGATTTATTGTGTTTAGTGTGAATATGAAATATTATCATTAATGCAATGAAATCGTTAATCATAGTAATCGTTCATTTCTACAATTTTACATCTATTGCAACAAATGTATAATAAATACTATTGAGAAGGACCTTTGAAGAAACCTTAGAGAGCATAAAGTCACATATGCGCAATTTTTGAAATAATCAAACATTTATATATTATTATATTCCCTTAAAAAAAAAAAAAAAAAAAAAAAAAAAACGATTTTACCCATAAATCAGCATAATTTTAGTATAAAATCAGCATAAAAGAGTAAAAAAAGTAGAAAAAAAGTAAATATAATAAACGGAAATAACAGTATTTTATTGCAGTGACGTACGAGTGCATTGTTCAAATGGTAATAAATTCAGTGCAATAATAAGTTATTCAAATTCACGTACGTGGAATAACGCTTAACAGAAAGTCGATAAACAAACAAATGTTGTTCTTAAGGCATCTTGCTTATCAACAAAGTGAAAATAAATTTTCACTGCAGTCTCACCGTAATAATATAAAGCGATTTTTTTCGATTCTCGACTTTCTTGGCCAACCATAAATCTCGCGGGCGTCAACGCCAATCATCTCGCATCCTTTTAAACTTGTACCCCAAGCCATAAATGAACCATGAGCGACGTGTCTTAGCAAGCTGCCTTCGACTTTTGGCCAACAAATCTCTCTCTCTCTCTCTCTCTCTCTCTCTCCCTCTCTCTCATTCTATCCATTACTCTTTCCTCTATTTTCCTAGTATTCGTGTGCGTCCTCTTTTCTCTCTCTCTCTCTCTCTCTCTCTCTCTCTCTCTCTCTCACTCTCTTTCCCCTTTTTCTTTTCTTTTGCTCTTGGGTCGATTGATTTGTTCGAATGACTCAGACTCAGCTTTTTGTTTAAAATGTCTTACGGGGCTAGACTTTTTCTTCGCTAACTCTCTCTCTCTCTCTCTCTCTCTCTCTCTCCGTCTCTCCGTCTCTCTGTCTCTCTGTCTCCCTTTCATTCCAGCTTATTCTATGGTTCTATTTTTATTTTGCGTGCCTTTTCTGTTTCATTATGCAAATGTTTCTTGGAGTGCGAAGAGTCAAGGAGGTATAATGTTAGTGTGAAGAGACGGATTTTACGCGGGAAGGGATGCTTAGGTACGAATTTTTGTATGAGCAGAAGGCGGCGTAAATGGTTATAAAAGAATTCTTATTAATTTTATAGTTAATGCAGACGCGTAAAATATTGGCTATTTTCAAATGTCGATAATTCTTAATAGAGAAAGCTAATGTATAAAGACATATATACATTTGACACCTATATAGTATGAAGAATAAAATAGACTTAACCGATAGTATAAAAGATGAAACTATTGAGACTTTTACATTTGAAAATTGTTTTTGTATAAATCAATTACAATTGATGTAAATTTTAAAATTTATGCCCACTCGCACCTTACCAATTCCTATAAATTCTCGTGCTAATATTTGATAAGACGCGCGTAAGCCGAAAGCCGATGAAGGTGCGCGTAGAAACAAGACAATCAATCACTAATCAAACCTATTTGCTTGTATTTCAGGTATGCCGGGTGGCATCGGACAGGCGGGTATGGGCTCGTACTATGGACCAGCAGCGGCTTACGGCTCCTTATCAGCCGCGAGTATGGCCGCGGCGGCTGCTGCAGCTGCCCAGCAATCGGCGGCGGCGATGTCAGCTGGACTCACCGCTCCTGCACAGGTGAGCCTTTCCTTTTGTTTAATTAGTTCATTGATCGTGTGTTGGAGGAAGTGGTTATTTTATTCTCGATAATTGCATCGAGGATGTATATTAGCCTTCAATTATAAATAATACCATCGTCCTACTCGTAATTATTATAGCACAAAAATGATAAAATAGCCCATTATATTTTCAGTGTGTGTGTGTGTGTGTGTGTGTGTGTGTGTGTGTGTGTGTGTGTGTGTGTGTGTGAGAGAGAGAGAAGAGAAACGTTATTAATAAAAATATTCCGTGTTTGAAAGTAGATTTTTTCATTATTATTCCATGATTGTAATTTTTCTTTATCCACATTCATTTATTATTTCAAATGATATAATATTAAAGAACTTAAATTTTATTCATATTCAATATTCACAAACATAATGATTTTATCAAATTTACTCTTCATTTATGAAATCTAATATAAATCATTGTTTACGCGTTGCGCAACGTTCAACTGAACTTATCAAAAATAATCGTACAAAATAGCACTAATTTCTATAATATAGCACATTTCAAATATTCTAATAGACGAAATTTTGATGATCTCTAACGTTCTATAATATCAATTTCATTTTGTTATATCATAATTTCTATGCTTCGAGCTTACATTTTACTTTTCTTACGTTAGAACACGTACGTGTGTGCATAATAGGTGATTTTTTTTTTTCGAATGAATGCAACATAAGCCTTATACGTATATTAGTGCGCGTCTTCGCGTTTGCTCTTCTCTTCCCCACCCGGTCGCTATGTGTAAGAACAGAGACGATGAATGCACTAAAGGTAGAAACAAAAATTTTGACACGTAGTAATAGTAGCAAGACCCATGTAAGTTGTCTGATTTTCCGATGAAAAAGAAAAAGAAAAACAAATGACGGAAAGTGCGTGGTCTTTTATATTTTCTATTCGATGTAAAATATTTATATCATTGAATTTTTTTCTAACGAATAGTAGATTCTTCAATTTTGTCTCTGATGCTTTGTCATCTGTTCATGTTTGATCAACTGACTTCCTTTATTTCATTGATTTCAGCTCTTTTTTGTTTTTTTGTTTTTTTTTTTTTTTTTAGAAAGGTCACGGCATTATTGTATACGTATTGTTGATGTATGTTTTCCTTACAGCAGAGCATCTTTGACACGTGTTATTTTTTAGTAAAAGCTTTCGTGAATAGACTATCGAATATTTGATCTATTTTCAAAGATATGTTTGTCATTAGTAATATAAAAAGAACAAATAATTCTAATATTTTTACTCGTATACTTCTGAATATTACATTTTTAATCAAAATTATAAAGCAGTTTTTCAGTGTAATTTAAGGAATAAGTACATTAATGGTTATATATATATATATATATATATATTCTATTTTTTAATATTCGTTTTCAAAAATTGGTAAAAGTATAATGTTTTTAATACATTCGATATTAATGTTGGATTACTTATAGGCTATAAACAAATGTTATATTATGCTTTTCGACAGTTTTATATTATTCTATAATGAAAATATATTTTTATCATGACTATACCAATAAGAAATACCAGTACAATCAACTATTTATTCTTGATCATTTAGCTTGATATGAAGTAACATAATTTTATATCGGATTTTTAAAAAATTTCAAATATATGTTTTCATTTTTTATCGATTACTTCATACAATTGTATCAGGAAAAAAAGCATTGAAAATTTATTTATCAATACGAGCTGGCTTTGTAGTGGTAATAACGTCTTATTGTAATTAAGGCACGAATGAAACAGCAGATGACAGTTAAATAAGAAATTTTTAATAATTATTAAATAATAAGGTCAAATAATTAATAATAAATATAATTATGCCAATACTACATTAAAAATAATCATCTATAGTCTACATTATAAAAGTTGAAAACTATTTTTAATCATTTGAAATATAAAACGTATGAGAGTGAAAAAGAAATGATCAATGTGGAACCGAAGATAGAACGCCGAGCGTTTGCGTTTCATCAAAATTATACTCACACCGAAAGCGGCGAGGTCAGCAACAACGACACCAGCAGCAGCAAACCAGCAATAGCATAATAATAATCAATTGGATGCGAAGGAATATAACGTCGAAGAAAGAGAACGAGCCACCTATACATAAAGCCGGTGTGTGTAAATCATCCCAACAAAGCCGCTTAACGATCCGACAAAGGATTCATATCGAGACGTTTTCCCTTCTCTTCTGTTTCTTTTTTTGCGGCGAATTGCAGAATATTAGGAATATATAGGTGCCTACCCTTTCTGCTTCTATTCTTTTTGCTTACACTTTCTTCCTGCCGAAAAGGAATTTACAACGGCGAGTGTATTTTCCCGTCGGTCAATTCATCGATTCGCGCGAATTGCCGTAGATTTACTTTATTATGGTCGAATTTCTTAGGCTATCTGATAAAAAATGAGCCCTCCTCTATTTTTTAATTTGAATTTTAAATCACTGTTAAGGTAGAATAACACATTGATATTAATAATGCGATATATATATATGGCATGTAAAATTATAATAATTATTATGCGATAATAATTTATTAACTTTTATTTAGTTATAGAGAGTAGTATATTCGGATAAAAATTAGTATCTGTCTAAGTGAACTGTCAGCATTAGTGTAATAATAAATTATCAGTTCAGTAAATAATTGAAAATATAGGTAACGTATGTATAATAGCATAATACTTGTCTGTAATATTACTTGTGAATGAATTTTTTATGCCTACATTTTATAGTAATATTCATAGTAATTAGTTATAACAAATTTTATTCTCATTAAATTTCTTTTTTCTTTTATTAAAAATTTCTTCTTCAATGTATTCGAGTAAGATTATGTATATTGATAATCTTATAATCATTATAAAATCAATCAAATGCATAATTTAACCGTCAATTATAAATTCACTAATAAATTTTAATTAATCAATTGTCGAATAATGTTATTTTATGTTTAAAGGTGAGCCCATTCGAGAATGTAAAAATAGTTAGCTACCAGTTTTGTTAAAAAAAACATAAAAAGAAAAAAAAAATAAAAACATAAAAAAAAAAAAAAAAAAAAAAAAGTTGAAAATTTTTTTAATTTTCCCCTTTTTTTTTTTTTTTTTTTTTTTTATAAAGATTATTCGAAATTTTTTCATTCAGATATTAAAAATGGCTTTGCATATTTAGGAAGGAACAAAATATGTAAATTCGATGAGCGGTATAAGTTACAGCACTGGTCTAACCATCTCTTCCCTATTACTTATACAGAGTGGTTATATTATAAACCTTATCATCAATTTTTCAAGAACTTTATTTCACGTACTTTCAAGTCGCACACTCGCTCACACCTATATACTTAATCATCGACATTTCGGTAGATCGATTTTTGATATTTGATTTATAGAATAAGACTACCGTTATGCCACCGCGCGAGAGTAGTCCCCTCGCAATTCCTAACGAAATATCCACCCACGAGAGAAATGAAGAGCCGAGGTAGATAGAATGAGAATTTTGAAAATTGCCGGTGACCTTCGATTTGGCAAGTCAGTAGTGGCTGTAAACGCAACCGGTAGCCATTTCGTAGCGAGGGGCGTGTCAAGTTATTAGCGAGTAGCACTGGAATGGCGAAGAAGCGAAAGAGAAGGTGGAGAGCGAAGAGAAACATACGGTGGAGATTTATAACGAAAGGCAATTAATTCGTCAGTGTGCGGCTTCGAAAACTCTTTCTTTTTTTTTTTTTTTTATCTCTATCTTATCTCGCTCTTTATCCCGCTCGTAGATAGAAGCTCGGTTTAATTTAATTCAAGGATTTTTATGGCCGATCGAGATTTTCTCTTGATTAAAATCACGCTCGTTAATCATTGTATACGCATATCCCTACCTTATCTACTTTCTTTTAAGCCGATGCCCGTACAGTTACAATCCCTATAAACACATTATGCTATATGTTGATAATAATTTAAATCAATATGTTTATGTAATCTGCGGAATCGATTGTTCCATTAATATTATGAAATAAAGCAGTAATTCCAAGTCGTTATATCGAATCGGGAAAAATATCAGTAAAAATCTCTTTTGTTCACGCATCTTGTCAACATTTTTTCAAATTATTCATAAACATTCATTCCGTTGAGCCCTTATTCATTATGTATTATTATGTATTCTACGTAGCCAATGGCTTATTACTGGCTGCATATGTCCTTACTGTCATTATATTTGTTCGACTTTTGTAATATTAGATTAATTTTGTGCCAGTTTAATAAATTACAATGCTCATTCCAGTAGCAGGTAAAGAAGAGAATGATGGATAGTAGTGACACTTTATTAATATGTAATAAAAAATTTACATAGCTTAAAACAATATTATGATAATTCGAGTACCTCCTTCCAAATGATTCAGTATATTACAAATTTAATTTTATTTTCTATTCAAATTACATTTCAGCTAAATACATCATTCAGATCAATGCAGAGGCCAGTTGAAGCAAAATTTGAATACAAATTCAATAAAATAAGAGTTTGTGACTTAATCTTAATCATGACTCGGCACATTTTTTATCAAATTAATGCGAAATTCGCTACGAGTATAGAGCTACACGTATATACATACGTTCTATCGAAGTAAAAGACAGGTGCGAAAGGTTCATTTTTACAGGTGCATATTGCTGGCGTTTTTATGCGATGCAACAAACGACTCTATAAACACATGCGCACACAAATGCAAAATTATGTATATACTTGAAAGCCTGCGCACGCACGTCTACGCGGGAGAGAGATTGAGAGAGAGAGAGAGAGAGAGAGAGAGAGAGAGAGAGAGAGAGAGAGAGAGAGTTAAAGGAGAAAGGAGCGGAGCATGTGATATTCTAGCCGCGGGATGCCAGAAGCCCAAAGCATAATTTACGCATAAATTTCAAGCACGGCGAAACCGAACGTAAATTGTCACCTTCACAAAAGCTTTTATATTAGCACCATTTCTCACATACTCGTTTATTTCAGTCTCATTTTTTCATTTTATTTTGCAGATTTGCCCCATCGGCAAATGTGCTCCTTTATTTTTTTGTAACACTTTTTAACTATATTTAGTCGTTTTTTTCTTATTATATTCTGGTAGATTATTGTATTTGTCATACTTACGCTCAGAAATTCTATGTAAAAGTTACTTGCTTGCTGCTTATATTTATAACTCGTGACCGCGTGATTAAAAATAAAAATATTTATTTTATTATATTTTTTGTTTTTATAATTATATACGCACAAATATGTTTCTTAATTTATATACTGTGTAAAATATACATTTAGATATTCGATTAAAAAAATTGTTTTTTTTCTTTGTCAGGCTTAATTGCACCATGCCAATGTAAAATATCGAAAGGTTGCGTTATTATATTTTTATATTGCTTCGTATAAAATTTGACCAAAATTTCTTTTAAGCGTATTATTATGATGAAATAATTAATATAAATGAAAATATTAAATGATAAGTAGGCATCGTTAATAAAATAATCGTTAAGTTGCATCACATCATATCACAATATCTTCAGCGGGGTTACGTAGGACGTAGATATTCCTTGATTTCTAATTGTCCTTCAATTTGTCTAGTATTTCTTTCATATTACGATAGATGAAGGAAAAGAAGAAAAAGAAAAATGCAATTCTAAAGATATCGATATCCGTGTGTTACAGGTGGTGAGTTCGATGGACGCGATGAAGTACTCGATGGAAGCAGACAAATACAGGGCCGCGTACATGCCTCCATCGACCCTTGCCATGTCGATGTACTCGGACGCCAAGTACCTGGATTCGAGTCCGAAGTCGTACCTAGATCGTAGCTACCTCGACTCGGCCAAGGCCTATTTTGAGCAGTCAAAGCTATACATGGACCAACAGCATCAGCAGCAGCAGCAGCAGCAGCAGCAGCAGCAACAACAACAACAACAACAACAACAACAACATCAGAAGCCGCCGGGCCTAACGGACTACAGTCGTCATTCAGTGTCTGGATACGAGGCCAGTAAACTTTACGAAGACGCGAGTCCAGGTGGCGCGGGTGGCTCCCTCAGCCGATCGCCGGCTGCCGATTCCCCGGACGGTCTCGTATCCAAAGGTCAGAATTCCTCGGGTAACAACGACGGCGGGACGCGCAACGATCTTGGCTCCTCCAGCGCCAGCTCATCGGCTTCCACGTCGACCTCGAGCCCCGGCGCCGGAAGTCTCTCCAGCTATTACCCCGGTGCTCAAGCCGGCGGTTTACTCGGTCCCCAGGTCGGCCAATACGCTGGCTACCAAACAGCACCTGCCGGCCCTGGAAATGAATTTCGCAGGCCGCTGACGGTCATCTTCTGACCCGATCGAGCCTAGCTGTGAGCCGCGCTCGTCCAGCAACGACACTGCGAGTATCGGCGGTAAGCGCGAGTAGAGCAATCGACGAGCAATTCACCTCCATGTACCAGCTGTTCCTGCACTGAGAGTAAAAAACAAAAACAAAACAAAAAAAAAAAAAAAAACAAAAACAAAACAAAACAAAAAAAAAACCATATAAAAATGAAAGAAACGAGCCTTTAGAATAACTGGAAGCTGGCTTTCGTCTTCTGAATTATCGCTGGGCTGATCTTGAGACGTTGCGCCGCTTGAGAATTTATCATATTAGAATTCGATCCTTAACTGAAGCGTCAAGCGTCCGATTTATTGTTTCCATTTAGGATATTCACCGATTATCAATGAGCAGTCTACTGGATTTACAAAAGAGCGTTCATTTTATTATTATTCCTAATGTATGAACAGAAAATAAAAGAAGACTACATCAATTATTATCCAATAATCCAGTAGATTTTCAATATACTTTGAATCGATAGTATTAAGGAAATGTTACAAAGCGCGAGGTAAAGATAAAAATTACTTAAGTAATAATTAATTGATTAATTAAATTAAATTAAATTAATTAATTAGGCATCTTCTTCCAAGTGTTGAGTCTTCGCAGCAATGATTAGCAAACAAAAGCCATTCCCAGAGTAAACAAAACGATCCTTCTCAGTGTTGCCGGATTCTTCTTAAGTCTAGTACCTACTTTTCTGTAATCTAAACTTCATCTCTTCAACGACTCGCGCGCACGATAGGTTTGATCTTTAATATAAAGGTTAGCTCAAAAACACCTGTTTGGCTAGTGATTAAAAAAGTATTTATCAAATGGTGGCTAAATGCTTTTAATTAATATATAAATAAATTTCAATTGAATTTTATCTGTTTTTGGATATGCTAGAATATAATTCGATAGGAATAGATATTCTGTAATGTAGGTTACAAATTTTGTACACATTATCTTTATTGAATTGTAAATCGAATTATTAAGAATACGAATTCAGAACAAACCTAATGCGCCTATTATTTTATCTAAATTCTTCTTATTTATTAGATCATACTCGTTTTTTTATTTCTTTTTATTTTGAAAAAAATATTATCGTTTTATAAGGGGAAGTTTTCGTGGAATTTTGACTTCCTCTACGGTGTTGTGTTCCTAAGATTCGACCGACGAGTCATTTAATTATTTCGCTCTTAAAACCGAACGAATCTCGGCTTTTCTTTCTTTAGTGTTTTAGATATTTTTAATTTTAATTTGTTTTTGTAGCTTAAAACCCGTTACCCATGTCTTCTACGCTATTATTTTCTTCTTTATTATTATGTTCATTATTATATTATAAATGAGCCGTTTCATTGAGTAATGGCTTAAGTATTATATAAATAAAATGATGTAAATAATTAACGTGTCTGTAAATAGCAGTAGTAAAACTTGTGAAAATGAAAATCTGTCCTTGAAAGAAAGAAAGGAAGTAATCTTACGTTAGAGTAAGACTAGAATCGTTGTTAAGTTTTTCTGCTCTTTTCTTCAAAGGATAACGAAAATTCCTGAGATTAACGAAAATGCGCGTGGACCATCTTATGATAATTATCTTTTATATTCTTAATGTCAGCCTTCTTCATGCATTTTGTTCTTATCGACGACTATATATATATATATGTGTGTGTGTGTGTGTGTGTGTCTGTGTGTCTGTGTGTGTGTGTGTGTATTTGCGTGTGCGTATGCGTGTGCGTGCGTGCGTGTGTGACACGATGATTACGAACTTATGTATGAATGTATGCATGAACTTATGTATGTATGCGTACACACATGCATATACAGAAGGTGAAATTTTGTTTGCTTCCTAATAGGCATAAGAAAGAAATGAGCTTTAGAATAATGCAAAAATGTTTAAATTGTTAATTTAATACGACAGCTACTGTTCTTCTACACGTATTATAAACACATAAATTTTATATTAAAATAATACGTGCGTAAGCAAAAATTTGTAAATTTTGAAGAATATCGTAGAGATGAGGAGTTTGCTGTTAGTGTGTAACATTTTAGCGAATCAACGAATCTACGTGAAATTGTTGGAAAATGTATTTTTAAGGATGTTTTCTCAACATCTTTATATAGTTTTGGGCTTGCGCGATGCCCATAATAATAATTTCGTTGTACATAGATCCACAAGTTTCGTCGGCTTATTCTGTAGTTCGTTCTTTTTCATTTTCGACACAATATTATATTCTAAAGAAAATCTTATTTGCTGACAAAGCAGAACAATTTATTAAAATAAAAACGAGTATTTTACATAAATTAACTTTACATAATTTAAATTTTGTCGTTATCTTAATACTTGAAAATTATCAATAGCTTATTTTTATTTAGAAATTTTTTAATTTCTATGAAACATCATGAAATTTTCATGCCATAAAACGTTTGACGAACGCACATTAGTCACATTTTAATCTCATTTGAATATATTATCATCTCTTATTCAAATAGTTTTTATCGAATGGATGAACTTATGTTAATGTTTAATTATTTATGATTTATGTATGCACGTTTATGTGTTTGTCGACGTGCGTGTGCGTGCGTGTGGCTGCGTCTGGCCGCGTGTGGCCGCGTGTATGTGCGCCCGTATACGTTAAACCACTATAAGAGAAGACGATTCGTTCAATTTTTTCGTTCTCGACGAACTTTTTCCGAATGACTCTTTTAATTTCTTCTATCTTTCAATAATACGATATGAACGAAGAACGTATTTCTGTTTCTTTTTTCTTCTTTTTTCTTCATTTTTTCTTTTCTTTTTTTTTTTTTCTTTTTTTTTTTTCATTCGAGATCTCGTAAAAAGTAAATAAGGAAAACAAAATCATCTCATTCGAGGGTGAAAGAAAAAGACGTCCGGTTTTATCCCCCTCGTGACTTTGTCCCCCAATCCATTATTCACAACGTGTAACCTTTGTATATCTATTGTTATGATAAACATTAATAGTTCTACCGGTTACTCGATTATTATAGTCCGAGCGAAACAAATAATCTATAAATATTGTACTGTAAGTGGAGATTAAAATAAAAAGTAAGTATTATCCTTCAAAAGTTTTTGACTATGCAATTTATTACCAAATTCTTTATTAAAAACGATTCCTTCTTATATTTACTTAATGAAATAAAGTTTAAGTTTGTTTAATTGTGAATGGATTATTTTAGAATACATGCTTTTATGGTAAGTAAAGTTATTTCGCTTCTCGATGCTGAAAATCTATTCAACGTAAGTTTATTGCAAAATAAGTAACAGAAAATTTATCATATACATTTTTTTTTTTTTTTTTTTTTTTTTTTATTACATATCAAGAACGAAATTTATTATTTATTACACAATAGTGCGATTAATAAATTGATTGAATAAATTAAAATAAAATAAAATATGAAATAATCATTATATGAAAATTAGTGATAAGCTGTGATTTTAGGGCAGTAAGTCATTTGATTTGAGATTGATGATAATTGCGACGGTAAAATTCGCTTGAGAAATCGAAAAAAACATGGATATTAATTTTTCATTCGAAATATCTAGCACCGAATTAAAGAACAATGAGTTAGCTTGTTTCTTTGAAGTCGTATAAAATTTTCGCAGACAATCATTTTTAACATTTTATTTTTGTATTAAACATCGAAGGCGAATCGATTTTAAAATTATTCATGAGCCTGCCTGAAAACTTCAAATCTATTTCTCAATTCCTTCAAGCTAATCATTTAAACGGACAACACATCACAAATATGAATAAACAATTGTTAAACTACACCAGCTCATCTACTAGGCGAAAGTATATTGACGATCGAATCGCTATATTCTTCAAGGTCCTCCAATAACATCCGGAAATCATAGACGGCAAGCAGTTTCAAGCAAATTCCGTTGTATCGCGCGTCGAGGAAACTCCCTCGGCTTGATGGATATGATTAAATCCATTGTTGAATCGTGTTACGAGAACACCAAGAGACGAAGCCACTGTTCTGGCAATAATAACAACGTACGCATATACGTCGTTATGTCGTGTAGAGCAGTCGCGCTTACCTTTTTGGCTTAGGCTCCGATTCGCCTTCGATGTCCTTTCTCACCTATTCACATGAGCTGAGAAAACGGTAGCAGCTGTTAGAGTACAAGATTTTTTCGAGGTATTCTGTCTCCCTCTCTCCTTTAGTTTCATTGGAGACCGAATTGTATTCGGTCAGCACCTTACTCTATCCATCTCTCTTTCTCTCTCTCTCTCCCTCTCTCTCTCTCTCTCTCTCTCTCTCTCTCTCTCTCTCTGTGGCTATTCTCTATTTTCTATTCATAATATTAAGGAGGAGAAGACTGTACTACGGTTTCCATTTTTCTCTTGGTGGGAACAATGGATGGAGAAGTTGAGGGAGACTAGTTTAGGCGCGGGAAGAATGCAATTGTTGACTCGTGAAGGAATCGTAAATTCTATTTCTTTTATTCTTTTCCGCTTCTCCGTTTAGAAGATTACTGTTTTTAATTTTAGATCTAGATAGATAGCGATAATTGTTTTCAAATTTATAAGAAATTTATAGAAAAATATAAAATGTTTTATCGTTTATCTATTTTTATGAGACATTGTGTATTACATTTGAATCTTTCAAATATTCATCGAACATTTTTTCTACTTTGTTTCTTCTAAAAATATTATAAAGAATTATTAACTTTAAAATTTGAATGACTGAAGACTCCGTCTAGAAATTTGAATAACTAATGTATTCAAGATTTTAAAATTTATTTTAACTCCTTACTTCGACAATCTACATTTTGAAAGAATTGCTATTTCTACACAAATATATCGTTAAGACTAAAAAACTTATGATCTAAAAATCCACATAACCTCATCCTGATTATGTTTAATATATTTAATATGGTAGAAATTCATAATAAGAATAATAAAAATATTTAATTCATATCGTAAGGTATTTTTGTAATACCACTTTATAGATAAAAATTAACGCAAAATATATCATTAAAGTAAATATTTTATTGTACATTTAAGTAAAAATACTTTCAAGTATTTATTTTTTATAATTATTTAAGATATTGTCAATGTACTTTATAATAGGTCACAATAATTTTGCTACTTATAAATAACATATACATTTACATA